CTATTCTATTCTATTCTATTCTATTCTATTCTATTCTATTCTATTCTATTCTATGTAGAAGCAGGTCTCTGGAACTATCAATCTAAATATAAAATATTCAGTGGGAATCATTTTTTAAAACTTGGGGATTGAAATTTCAGCACATACTTTGACCCTAGAGTACACTGGGGCCTCGAAACTTGCATTAGCACTCCAAAACTTAAGGAGGTTAAACTTCTCCCGAAATCGGAAAGGCACCCAGGATTCAGGCAGTGAATCTCTGGCAATAGGGACACAATGAAAAGCCACATTCCAAATTCCTGGCCATGTTCTTCTCCCCCAGTTCTAGCAGTGGCCACCGGCTGCACCTTCATCGTCTGGTATCTCTCCGAGTGTCTGACTTTCTCCACTTCTGAAGACATCCCGTCTTCCAGCATTTCCTGTTGGGAAGACACAAACAATGCAGGGTAGTCCTTGGCTTATGACCACCAATGAGTCCGACGTTTCCATTGCTAAATAAGACAGTTGTAAAGTGAGTTTGGTCCCATTTTACGACTTTCTTGCTACAGCTGCTAAGTGATTCACTGCAGTTGTTAAGTTAGTAACATGGTTGTTAAGTGAATCTGGCTTCCAGGAGGAGGAGGAGGAGGAGGAAGAGGAGGAGAAGTAGAGGAGGAAGCAAAAATGGGAGGAGAAGGAGAAGGAGGAGAAGGAGGAAGCTAAGTAGAGGAGGAAGCAAAAGTAGGAGGAGGAGGAGGAGGAGAAGTAGAGCAGGAAGCAAGAGGAGGAGGAGGAGGAGGAGGAGAAGGAGAAGTGAGGAGGAGGAGGAGGAGGAGAAGTGGGGAGGAGGAATGAAGGAAGAAAGAAGCAAACAAACATTTTAAAGATGAAATACAAAGCAAGGACCCAAACCAGGGTCACCGCAATGCAAAACGAATAGGACGGGACGACCCGCGTCTTCCTCTACCTGGACAATTCTCCGCGAATGCTCTCCAATGCAGGGCACCGTGTGGAGCTGCTGGATTCTGCGGACCTTCCCGGGGAGGGCCTTAAGCACCGAAGCCGCCCTGGAAAAGGCCAAGCTGCGAACCTCGCTCCCGGCGAATTTGGCCTCTTCCGCCATGGTTTCTAGGGCCTCCTAGCAAAAGGCAGTCAGGTAACAAGGACACCTGGGGAGACACCCTTGGCCCAGACCAAGCCCTCCAAAGGGGTTCGGACTCTTAGACCTCTTCCAGCTGTTTCCTGCCCCTCCTCCCCACTAAAAATGACACCAGAATAGGGAAATAGGATATAATACAACATAAATACAGTGATAAAGACAATGTAATATGTTATAACAAATTATAACGGAACGAATATTATGAACTGAGATATCTTAAAAACTGAAATTTTCTCAAAAAGGATGATATAGTTTACAAGTAAAGTCCCATAAGCCGTTCATAACAATATAATATGCATATTTATGTAAAATCAATTTTAATAATGTACTGCGGTTGGAAGGGAAGGACTGTGGATATTGTGCACAAGAAGGTTTGGACCGACCGGCACGCTGTACAATGGAAAGAAGGTTTTATGTTTTTCTGTTTGTTGTTAAAAAAATTATATATACATATATATATATATATATATATATATATATATTTATATATATATATATATATATATAATGACACCTGAAAACACACCAATAAGGCAACCCCTTAAAAAGACGGACATGGAAAGGAAAACCCAGGTATTCCTCAACTTACGACCACAACTGAGCCTAAAATTTCTGTTGCTAAGCCAGACATTTCCTAACTGAATTTTGCCCCGTTTTATGACTGAAGTCCACACCTCCCTAAGCGGCAGAGGTTGACTGGTCTTCCTTAAGTCCCATTACCGTGAGCGCGGAGTTGGGGTGCAGCAGCGGAGTCCGTCTCTGGCAGATGTAGGGAGGTACCTGGACCTTCTCCTCTGGCGGCTCTGCAGGAGTGGCCACCTGGACAAAAGGGAACAGGTGAGATGCTTTGGAAGTATCCAAGTCATCCTCCAACGGAAAGCCATCATTAAACGGCAAGCTTTTGCTCTGATTCACATTCCAGCAAAGTCTCAGAAACCGTGGGAAGGGAGGGAGGGAGGGAGGGAGGGAGAGAGGGAAGGAAGGAAGGAAGGAAGGAAGGAAGGAAGGAAGGAAGAAAAAGAGGGAGGGAGGGAGGGAAGAAGGGAAAGGGAAGGAAAGGAAAGGAAGAAGGGAAAGGAAAGGGAAGGAAGAAGGAAAGGGAAGGAAGAAGGGAAAGGGAAAGGGAAGGGAAGGAAAGGAAAGGAAAGGAAGAAGGGAAAGGGAAGGGAAGGGGGAAGGGAAGGGAAGGGAAGGGAAGGGAAGGAAGAAGGGAAAGGGAAGGGAAGGAAGAAGGGAAAGGGAAGGGAAGGGGGAAGGGAAGGGAAGGAAAGGAAGAAGGGAAGGGAAGGAAGAAGGGAAGGGAAGGAAAGGGAAGGGAAGGAAGAAGGGAAGGGAAAGGGAAGGAAAGGAAAGGAAAGGAGAATGGGAAAGGGAAGGGAAGGAAGAAGGGAAAGGGAAGGGAAGGAAGAAGGGAAAGGGAAGGGGGAAGGGAAAAGAAAGGAAAAAGGGAAGGGAAGGGAAGGGAAAGGAAAATTGATGGAAGGTGGGAAAGAGGGAGTGAAGGTGGGAGGAATGCTTAAGACCAACCAACAATGGCTGGTTTAAACACTACCAGTTATGCTGCTTAAGCCATAGTATTAGTACTCACACTACGCACTAACTCCTACTTTACCAATCACAATGGCTGTTTCCCGCAGAATACTAGGTCAAAGGAAATAAATCCTCAGCAAGGAGGACAAATAAGTTGTTCTCCCCGTCTTCTCCTCTACTGAGGGATTTCGTCTAGCATTCAGGGATGGTTTCCTTTGGGGCTAAATGCAAAAGAAGGTCTGGCCCATCCCCGGAGGACTCCGGCTTCCGTACCTTCAGGCGGTGCCTGGGTTCAATCTCAACGGGCCGCCCGGCGCTCATGCTCTCCGTGAACCAGCTGAAGTCCAGCAGAGCCGGCCCATCCCCTCCAGCGTTGGCAGGCGGCCTCCCATTCTTCTTCAGCCACTCAACCACTTCCTCTCCAGAATTGCCTTCGGACACAACGTGAGTCACTTTCTCACTAGGACGAAAGCAAACAGATTTAGGGCGCTGGGGTCCATCACAGGTTGAGGCTTAGATGAGATGCACTCCCTTGGCTTCAAGATGGAGAAGTCAGGAGCCTCGTCTAGTTGTGGCTACTATTCTGCCGTTGTTAAAGGTGTAACAAACCCATCACTTCTGAGTGTCTGGGGGGGCAGGGTCCCCAAACTTGGCAACTTTAAGACTTGTGGACTTTCAACTTGTTCAGAGTAAATTCAGCGCCAGAAAAATCAACTCAGGTGACTGAGGCTTCATTGAACTTCTTTATAAACATATAAAGTAAATTTTACAATACCAGTTGTAGATTTCTCCAACGTTTCTCCAAACTCAAACAGAAGCAGACAGGTTACAGGTTCAAAGCACAACAGAAACTCAGGAGCTCAGAAAACAGACCTCAGTTTCACTTTAGTTGAAGCAAGCAAGCAAGATACACAGCAGAGGAAAGAAGCACTTTCATCTTCAACAGACAGACTCAGAGCTCAACAGAGCTTCAGAGCTTAATATAGAGCCACGCCTAGGCTACTTCTAGTTTCAGTTTCCAAACAGTCCTCATTGGCTGACTTAAGTTTCTATGCCTATTCATCGGCTGACCTGGTTACAAACAATGCTCTATTCCAGATCAGGAATATACTCCGACGCAACTCCCAGAATTCCCTGACACTTTTTGACGTGTCTCCCCATTGCGACCTGCTTACTCTCTTGTAATCCCTTTCTCCACAATCTCTCTGCTCTATAAAGTGGGAGGAAAAGAAATAGGTACAGCTGGCTGGGGAATTCTGGGAGTTGAAGTCCGCGAGTTTTCAAGCGGCCAAGGGTGGAGAATCCCTGACCTCTACCTCCTCTTGGAAGAATCCAGGGATCCGTGATTCGGCGCAAGCGAGCATTCGAACCGTTGTTCGGCTTCCAAGATTCCTCGATAAAAGAAAAAACCCCTCCCCTAATTCCCACTTCAAAGGGGGATTCCTCTTGTCTTACACCTGGCCCTTCATCCCACTCCCACGGGGACACCTACCAGCAAGGATCATCTACCCAGAAGCCTCTGCTGCGAGCCAAGGAGGTGAGGAACGTTTTCCGGCTGGAGCCCATCCGCTTCTCAACCAGGCCGAGCACCACTTCAGGGAAACGCACCGGGTGCTCGGAGTTAGCTGGCTGACCCGGCTCGGCCCGAGGGGGGCGCCGTTTCTTCACCGGCAGTTGGGCCATGATCCGCCCACCGATGGGACACCCTCGTCCGTCTCCCAAGAAGCCTACTTGGAGAAACAAATCATTTTTGTTTTAATTTGTTGGTGGCACAGTTTAATTCTGTGTCATTTGTCGGTGGCGTGGTGGTACTGCAGGCTCCTTCTGCTGCCTGCCGGCTGCCTGCAATTTGGCAGTTCGAATCCCACCAGGCTCAAGGTTGACTCAGCCTTCCGTCCTTCCAAGGTGGGTAAAATGAGGACCCAGATGGTTTGGGGCAAGAGGCGGACTCTGTAAACTGCTTAGAGGGGGCTGTAAAAGCACTGGGAAGCGGTATGTAAGTCTAAGTGCTACTGCTGCTGCTATTTACTACTACTACTACTACTACTACTACTATTATTATTATTATTATTATTATCATACATTGATATATCACAGCAACCAGGAGACCCCAATGCTATTGCAGACTAGTAGTTTGGCTAGCCAAGGTATCAGCCCTGTTATGGGACATGGTTGTGCGCTGCCTAAGGTGTGTCATAGGAGGGCGTGGCTTGGTGGGCGTGGCAGGGGAAGGATATACTGCAAAATCCCCCTTCCCTCCCCGCCCCACTAACCTGCTTTCCAGCTCCCTTCTCCTGTACAGGGCAACCAAAGACCCAGCCGATCAGCTGTGGGTGTGGCTTGGTGGGCGTGGTGTTCTGTGGGCGTGGCTTGGTGGGCGTGGCAGGGGAAGGATACTGCAAAATCCCCCTTCCCTCCCCGCCCCACTAACCTGCTTTCCAGCTCCCTTCTCCTGGTCAGGGCAACCAAAGGAGCAGGCCAGCCAGTTCTCCAAATTACTCAAAATTTCCCGCTACTGGTTCTCCAGAACTGGTCGGAACCGGCTGAATCCCACCTCTGTGTGGGCCCCACCAGCATAGGGGGCCCCATACTAAGCTGTGCCTGTTAACCCTTCAATGCCCCCATAAATACAGCAACATGTTTATGACATTTCACTGCTTTTTTTTTTTTTTTACAATTAATGCGAACATGCAAAACAGATGTTTCATGTTATCAACCCCTTTACATTGTTACTACTCCTGGGAGTAGCTGTCATAAGGGCCCCAGGACGTTGCTTGGCCCCGGGGCCCATAACGCTATTAAGACGGCCCCGCTCGTGGGTGGGGGGAGGGGTAAGAATAGGTTGCTTCCCAGGCCTTCTTGGTCAGCTTGGCGGGGGGAGGGGGTAGGGGAAGAAGGGTGATGGGGGAGGGGAGGGGGGAGACGCAAAACTGCAAAACTTAAACCTCCCCTCCCCCCACCCCTCCCCCCCCCACTTCAGAGAGAAAGTGGTTTGTTTGTTTTTACCCGCAAAGCTTCCGCGCCTCTTTTACTCCCGCAAGCCACCGAACTTGCGGCCGGAAAAGTGCCAGGCGGGGGGGGAGGAGGGGAGGCCTCCCCCCCCCCCCCACCAGGTGCAGCATCTGCTCCAGCTGCGGTCCGAAGGAAGCCCCACCCCCACTGTCCCGCCCACTCTTGCAAATCTCAGGGGGGGAGGGAAAGGCTCCCCCCCCTCCTCCATCAGGGGCAGCATCTGCTCCAGCTGCGGTCCGAAGGAAGCCCCACCCCCCACCCCCACTGTCCCCGCCCACTCTTGCCGGGCGGGGCGGGGCGGGGGAGGGAGGAGAAGAGATGGGGGGGGAGAGCCGGGCTTAAAAGAGCGCCGCCCCGCCCCGCCCGGACTCCCACTTTCTCCAAAGCGAAAGTGAAAGCGCTTCGCTCTCTCTCCCGCTCCAGCCTCCGCCCCCCCCGGGAGTCACAAGACGCGGAGCCGGAGGGGCGTCCTCGTCGTCGTCGGCGCTTCCTTGAAAGTCAGCTGGGAAGGGGGACAAAAAAGGGGGGGAACGAGTTTCCACGGAGCGAGGATGCGACCCACGCGGGGTTTGCGGGGACGGGAGGGGCTCGCGGGGGGCCTTTGGCTGCTGCTGCTGCTGCTGCTGCTGCTCCTGAATGCGGGGCGCGGAGAAGTCGGCGGAGCCCAGAGAGCCAACATCGTTCTCATCCTCGCCGACGACCAGGACCTGGTCCTGGGGGGAATGGTAAGCCTCGGACCCGCGTGGCGGGCTTGCTCCACCCGGACGCCGTCTGCAAGCGCCTGGCACTCCCCCCCCCAGGGAGGGCCAGGGGGGCACCGGGAGCACTAAGCACTCAGACCACGGGTCCCCCCCCCACCAAACGTGGCAAGGTTTGAAGACTTACGGACTTGAAACTTGGCAAGTTTGAGACTTGGGGACTTCAACTCCCAGAATTCCTCAGCTAACATGACTGGAGGAGGAATTCTGGGAGTTGAAGTCCCCGAGTCTGAAAGTGGTTAACTTGGGAGACCCCTGATTAAGGCTTATAAGCTGCTTTAGGAGACTTTTACAGCCCTCTCTAAAGCGGTTTGCAGAGTTGGCCTCTTGCCCCTGCCGCCCCCCCCAACAATCTGGGTCAGGGGGTCTTCAAACTGGACAGCTTGAAGACTTGTGGACTTCAACTCCCAGAATTCCAACCTCTTGTCATGTTGCCTCGGGAATTGTGGGAGTTGAAGTCCACAAGCCTCAAACTTGCCAAGTTTGAAGTCCCTTGATCTGGGTCCTCATTTTACTGACCTCGGAAGGACGGAGAGCCGAGCTGCTCAGGATTAAACTGCTAGCAGTGGGCAGAGTCAGCCTGCAATTCTGCACTCTAACCCCAGGAAGGGAGGAAGGAAGGAAGGAAGGAAGGAAGGAAGGAAAATAGCACTTAGACTTATATACCGCTTTATAGTGCTTTCCAGCCCCCTCTAAGCTGTTTATAGAGAGCCTCTTTCCCCTCAACAATCTGGGTCCTCATTTTACCCACCTCGGAAGGACAGAAGGTTGAGTCAACCTTCAGCTTGGTGGAATTTGAACTGCCAAATTGCACTCAGTCAGCAGAAAGGAGCCTGAGTGAATAGCTGCTGAGGAAGGTGTGGCGACTGAGTTGCTACCGGGTGTAAATTCCTCTGGCATCAAGGATTCAGAGATAAGCCTTCATCCTGGAAAGGGAGGAAGGGGTGAGAAAGTGAACTCGCGATGGCCCTGTCTTGATTCTCTTGGGCAAAAGTTTCCAACCTTGGCCACTTTTAAGACTTGTGGACTTCCCACTTCCACAATTCTCCACCAAGACGTGGAAGCTGAAGCGTAAAAAGTCTTGAAAGTTGCAAAGTTGGAGACCTTTGCTCTTGGATTGTAACAGGCGTGGAGACCAAATCCATCTTCTTTTGGAAATTTGGGTCTTGCACCAAGCAGAGATAAGATTCTAGCATTTCTAGTTCTTGTCAAGTGTTTGCTGACTTGGCCTAACCTTGCATTGTTTAGAGTTGGAAGCAGAACAGACCTTAAAACGTGCCCCGCCCACCCTCACACCATGGAAACAGTCTAGAAATAGTCTAATAGCAGCGCCAAGGAATAATAATAATCTGCAACTTGCTTGTCAGTGTTCGTTAAAGTAATAAATTGTTAACATTAATTATCTTGAATTAGTGTTCTATAATATCTAATGGTGAGGGGCAATTTAAGGAAAACTTGCTCACCGCTCAGCATGTTGAGGAGAGGCTCCCAAACGTATACATATAATTATTACTTATTAGTGTGATTGTTAATAAATATAGGAAGGACAATGTAAAGATTGGGAAGTGATGCAGTTTGACTTGGAAAGAGGAAATAATGAATAAATTCTGCAAATTAACCATTTTTTTTTTTGGTCACAGAATGCTGACCAATTGCTTCTTGGAAAGCAGCCACTGCACTCTGTTAGCAAACCTATTTTAATTTATATATATATAATTTATGATGTTGTTCCCTTTATTTCTCTGGCACACCTTTGTTTCTTTACGAACATCAAATCTCAAATTTGATTCCTGGTAACTAAAAGGACAAACATGATGTTGTTTCCTGTGAGTGCTTTTGGGCAGAGTTCAGTTCAGACACGGCGTTTGTTTTATTGCTTATATTAAAAAAAAAAATATTTGTGGCTCAGGGTTGAACCCCGGGGTCAGTAGTGCTCTCTGAGTTTGCTTGTTCTCTCGCAGGCGTTTCATTACTCAAACTAGGTTACAGTGCACTGATGATGATGCAACCTAGTTTGGTAATAATAAAACGTTTGCAAGAAAGCAAGCAAACTCAGAGAGCACCAAGGACCCTGAAGTTTTATTAGCTTCTTCCACAATGTTTTTTAAACACTCATCCTTATCTGAAGTTCTGGTGATCTCTCATCTATATATTTACCAGTTTTGACCTGCTTCGCTTTGTAAAGATCAAACAAACTTAGTTTGCCACCAGCTTTGAAGACCAATCTATTCTTTTAACACTGTTTGTGTTAAAACCCACTTTTTATGTATATAAATTTTTTATTTTTAAATATATCTAAGTATTGAATACATGAACAGTGTGGCCTCGGTATAGTTAATTCTGATACTAAATAATAGTGATAATATTGACAATTTTGATAATCTTAATTACGTTAATCATACTCACATCATTATAAATATTACAATTAAAGTTAATATTTTAGTATTTGCTCCACCATGCATATAATCCATCATTTAATTATTCAGTATTTTAATGCGCAATACTAATAACCATAATAATGTTGTTTAAGTGTACATAATGTAATCATCTTTCAACTTCTGATCCTTTCAACATACTGATTTTAAAATATTACATAGGAATATGTACCATAATATTTCTCCCTTTCTAATTTCTACCTCTATTCTAAATCTTCATAGCACAAATCTTATGTTAGTAGGTGTTCTATTCTATCCATCATCTCTCGTTCGTTTTAGTATTTCAATTCTTGTTGATATTTTTGGGCATGTTTTCCATACTTCTTCCTTGGTATTTTGTACTTCCATGCATCATTCGTAGTTGATCTACGTATTTTCTCTACCTCTCACTGCCAAACCTTCACGATGCCTATCAGTGTCTCTAACCTCTTATTAAAACCCACTTTTGTGCATCCTGCTGCGGAAAAGGAGGAAATTATACCACTTCTTTTCAACAGTAATTGCATGGGTGCTTAAACCCACGCCAAGAGAAAGGTCCTCTGATCACTGCTGCTTATGGATTTTGGAAGGCGATGCTTTGAAAGTCCCAGCAAATGAAGGGAGGAAATGTTTAGTGCGGATCATGTGGCTTAGAAGGAACCACAAACAAGTTGCTGCGTAGGAAGTTTCCGTTCTGGTTTTCTCCAGTCATGAAGGATGTTTCATCTCCATGTGAAAGCATAGATCAGTTGGGTTCCTCTTTTGATACTTGGCCTGGCCAAAAATAAAGAGCTGGAAGGGACCTTGGAGGTCTTCTAGTCCAACACCCTGCTCAAACAGGAGACCATAGATCAACGATCTTCAAACTTAACAGCTTGAAGACTGTGGACTTCAACTCCCAGAATTCCTCCTCCGGTCATGTTAGCTCAGGAATTCTGGGAGTTGAAGCCCACAAATCTTAAACTTGCTAAGTTTGGAGACTTATCTATTTTATCTATCTTATCTCTCTCTATCCTACCTCTCTCTATCTATTCTATCTTTCTCTGTCTCCCTCTATCTATTCTATCTATCTCTTTTTTTCTACCTATTTATTCTACCTCTCCTTATCTATCTATTCCAGGGGTCTTCAAACTTGACAGCTTTAAGACTTGTAGACTTCAATTCCCAGAATTCCTTCTCCAGTCATGTTAGCTCAGGAATTCTGGGAGTTGAAGCCAATAAGTCTTAAACTTGCCAAGTTTGAAGACCCTTGATCTATTTTATCTGTCCTATCTCTCTCTTTCTCTCTATCCTACCTCTCTTTATTCTATTCTATTCAATTCTATTCAATTCTATTCTATTCTATTCTATCTATCTATCTATCTATCTATCTATCTATCTATCTATCTATCTATCTATCTATCTATCTATCTATTCTATCTCTTTCTCTCTCCCTCTATCTATTCTATCTATCTCTTTCTATCTATCTATCTATCTATCTATCCTACCTCTATTTATTCCAGGGTTCTTCAAACTTGACAGCTTTAAGACTTGTGGACTTCAGCTCTCAGAATTCCTCTTCCGGTCATGTTAGCTCAGGAATTCTGGGAGTTGAAGTCCACAAGTCTTGAACCTGCCAAGTTTGAAGACCCTTGCCGTAGACAAATAAATTTCAAACAAATGGCTGTCCAATCTCTTCTTAGAAACCTCCAGCATTGGAGCATTCACAACTTCTGGAGGCAACCCGTTCCATTGATTAATTTACTAAAAATAAAAGAAGACGACAATAAAGGAACCCATATGGATTAATACAAAAAGAGGAAATATACAGGAATTTCTTTTCAATAAAAAGATCTCAAGTGCTCTGTATTGTCACTCCTGTGCTAGATACCATGGTGGCTCTTTCAAACACGTGTCACAAGGATATAAGAGCGGAGTTTCTCCAATGGGAGGGGCTATTTAGTAGTCTTGTTTTGAAGGCTTCATTCTGATTCTTCATTTTGAATTTTCAGGGCCCGATGAAGAAGACCCAAGTTCTGATGGGTCAATTTGGGGCTACCTTTGCTAATGCAGTAAGTATCCCCAAAATGGGGTTTCAGAATTGCTTTTATAGGTTCACCTATAGGAGGAGAGACCCTACCCATCCCCTCCTGTCTGTCTTGACCCAGGCTTCCCAAAACCATGAAGCCGACTCACCATCCCGATAAAATCCCTTTAAATGAATTTAAAATCTCCAGCAAAGTCCCAGCAAACAGTCTTTCAAGAGATTGCACAACTACAGACATTTTATCAGGCTGGGAGAGTTGCCAGGCCGATAGCTTCCAAATGCCATGCTGTAGCAGACAATACTTGGTAAGAAGCCAGGAACATTGGAGTATTGGAATCAAATAGGATAGGATAGAATAGGATAGAATATTGGAATTAAGAAATAGAAGAATAGGATAGGACTGGACAGAACAGATTAGAATATTGGAATTAAGAAATGGGCTACACTAGGCTAGGTGCTGGAAGGGACCTTGGAGGTCTTCTAGTCTAGCCCCCTGCTCCAGCTCCTATACCATCTCAGACAAGTAACTTTCCAGTCTCTTCCTAAAAACCTGAAGTGATGGAGCCTGGTTAATTTCCCTCACTGTTAGGAAGTTGGCTGGAGGCATTTGAAGGGCTGTCCGTTCACCAAGTTAATAGCTTCTGTCATCTCTTGGTAATAACTCGGTTAACTTTTGGAGCATTTCCAGCCTCCTCCAAGGCAGCTAGCCTGCATCTAGGAACAGAAACTTGGAAAACCTCTGGAGTTGTGCTACTTTGGAGTAGACCAGAGCAGGGGTGGGATTCAACTTTCTGAACCACCGGTTCTGTGGATGTGGCCTAATTTGTGGGTGTGGCTTGGTGGTCACGTGACTGGCTGGGCATGGCTTGTATGTAAATATTGTAAACACTTAATATTTTTTATTAAAAAAAAAAAAGAGCAACTTTTACCCCAAATCAGGCAAAACAGGCAGGCAGATTGAGTTGCTCGCAGAATCACAGATTCACTCAGAGATCTACCTCTCTGCAATCTGCTACCTGAGTCTGCACTGAAAAAATAGAAGCTTCAGCCCTAAGGAAGGTTCAGCTCTGCTTTTAGATTAGCTAAAAAGCAAGAAATCCAATGATTTCCTGCTTTCTAGCTAATCTAAATCTCCCGGCACAGCAGAACAGCTGATGGTCAGAGGGAGAAAAAAGGAAAAATAGCAACTTAGCAGGCAAGTTTGATGGCGCGCATGCCAGGTAAGGAGTGAATGGGCAGGGAGGGGAGGGGCCAACCAGTGGCGCAATTTGCCGGTTCTCCAAATTGGGCTGAATCATAACAACCAGTTCTATAGAACCGGTCTGAACTGGCAGAATCCCGCCCCTGACCAGACGTCTCCAAACTTGGCCACTTTAAGACTTGTAGACTTCAACTTCTCAGCATAGCTGGCTGAGGGATTCTGGGAGTTGAAGTCCCTCAAGTCTTAAAGGGGCCAAGTTCGGAGTAGACGGTGAACAGAAGGAACCCATTCTCCCAACCGATTTGTCTGTGTTTAGTTTTCAGTGACTCCGCTCTGTTGTCCCAGCCGCAGCAGCATCCTGACAGGTTTGTATCCCCACAACCACTTGGTGCGGAACAACACCTTGGAAGGGAATTGCAGCAACGCCGCCTGGCAGAAATTCCAGGAGCCCTTAAGCTTCCCAGTTTACCTGCAGAAGCAAGGTTACCAAACTTTCTACGCTGGCAAATACCTCAACCAGGTAGGGCTGCGTGTTTCCCGCCAAACACTTTTCCTTTTGTGCAAGGGGTGTGCCGGCTGTGCTTTTTTCACCAACATTTCTCCTTTTCTTATCAGTACGGGCACCCGCAAGCGGGCGGCGTTCAGCACGTTCCCATGGGATGGACACATTGGCTAGGTCTGGTGAGTAGGACGGCACCTGGTTGAATCCTCCGAGCCGGGAGGATTCAACCTTGGCAAGCTTTAAGATTTTGTGGACTTCAGACTCTCGGAACAGACTCTCCAGCACAGACCCACTGGGGTGAACAGCTGCATCCTACGAGGGTCGTTGGGCTCTCGACTCCCATCAGCCTCAGCAGGACAATTGACCAGTGAAACAGCTTGCCTTCAGGAATCGTGGGAGCTCCATCACTGGAGGTCCTTAAGAAGAGACTAGAGTAGACAGTCAATTGTCTGAAGCAGTATAGGTTCTCCTCCTTGAGCAGGGGGCTGGACTAGAAGACCTCCAAGGTCCCTTCTAGCTCTATTCCTATTCCATTCTATTCCATTCTTTTTCCTACATTCTATTCTGTTCCTATTCTATTCTTCATTCCAATACCCTATCCTAATTTCTACATTCTATTCCATTCCATTCTATTTTTATCCTATTTCTTTATTCTATATTCTATTCTATTCGATTCGATTCAATTCTCTTTTCTCTTCTCTACTCTACTCCATTCTTATTCCTGCATTCTATTCTATTCTATTCTATTCTATTCTATTCTGTTCTGTTCTGTTCTGTTCTGTTCTGTTCTGTTCTGTTCTATTTTTATCCTATTTCTTCTATTCCATTCTATTCTACTCTTACTTCTACATTCTATTCCATTTTATTCCATTCCATTCCATTCTATTTTTATCCTATTTCTTTATTCTATATTCTATTCTATTCTATTCTATTCTATTCTATTCTATTCTATTCTATTCTATTCTTATTTCTACATTCTATTCCATTTTATTCTATTCCATTCCATTCTATTTTTATCCTATTCTATTCTATTCTATTCTATTCTATTCTATTCTATTCTATTCTATTCTATATTCTATTCTATTCTGTTCTATTTTTATCCTGTTTCTTTATTCTATTCAGTTATTTCATGTTTTAACACAGGCTTTATATCAATTTCTTTCAACTGCCATTTCAGCATTTTGAGTGTAATATAAACTGCTGCGAGGTTTTTTGTTTTTGTTTTAAAGACCAAGCCATTTAAAAACATTTTAAATAAATAAATAAACATCCTTGTGCCTTAAGAGGTCCTCTGCGTTCCCCCCCCCCCCCCCCCCCACAGGTGGGCAATTCTAAGTACTACAACTACACCCTTTCGTTGAACGGGCATGAGGAGAAACACGGAGACCACTACGAAGAGGACTACCTCACGGACCTTCTGGTGAGTCCACTCCGCTTCCTCCTGGCCTTCCCTTCCACTCTGGGGTGGATGCAAGGGAGGCTTAAGAAAAGCCAAGATGGCGGACGCATGGCTCACCATCAGAACAAGTGGAGGTTTGACTGGAGCGTGGCGGCTGCCATCTTGGCTCTTTCTTCACCAGTCCCTGCAAATTCTTCCTTGGGGAGTGGGGGGTGAACGGCGGTGAGGGAAGGCGTGTGAGTGCCTGAAAACAGCCCCTGCCTTTCATCCCAGTGAAACTTGAATAGCTGCTCTCTCCACTCCTGTCCTCTTCCGTCCTTCCCAATCCTTTCTGTGTTGCAGACTAATCGGAGCCTGGAGTTCCTACGGAAGCTTTCGCGCCCTCCCTTCCTCATGGTGTTAGCCCCGCCTGCTGCGCACTCGCCCTGGACGGTGGCTCCTCACTACAAGTCCACCTACGGTAGCCTCAAGGCCCCTCGCAATGGCAGTTTCAATGTGCACGGGAAGGTGAGTTTCGCCAGCGCATGCCAAGCGGTGTGGTCTTCAAGCAGGCTAAAGCAGGCGTGATGACCTAGGGCGTGGCACAAAGGCAACTCAGCCAGAGAATAAATATGGGTCCGTTTATTAGCTCCAACTTTGTCCCCAGTGTCCCGATTACTTTCCAGTCTGGAGAAGAAAACTCTCCCAGGAACCTACAACAGCCTTTGGCTGAAAATATTCCGATCCAAACATTGTAAACAGAAAACTTTAAATTATAAATCCAACAAGGCAAAATAAGATAATAAATCCAGCAGGGCGAGATAAGGAGTTCCAGAAGTGAAGTAACACAGCAGTAAACCAAACCAGTTGGGAGGGTGCCAGGAACTAAGATAACAGCAGCCAGCACTAGATAAATTCAACGTTTGTTCCTGACAATCACCAGGACTGTCTTTTGGACTCAGACATTGGTCCTACATCCGATGCAGAGATGGGGCCAGGACCACCTGGGAGTGGGGTGCTGACTCTGGAGACTCCGGAGTCTAGCAGCAGCGAGGCAGAGGAACAAGGGGAGCCTGTATCCACTGCGCATATGCGCAGAGCTGCCGGAAGTCAAGAACAATTAAGACAAAAGGGGTGACTCAGGAGTAAGGCTGGGAGGTGATTGCCCCTCCCATAGGTATAAAGGAGGTGCAAAGGTAGAGAAACCCTTGCAGGAAGCAAAGTCGTTCGTTCGATTCAGACTCCTTCTTGAAGCTCTTTGTACTTCAGTTGTTGTTGTTTTTCTAGTTCATTTGACACTTTTGTTATTGGCAGCACTTCACAGGAAAGAAAGGTGGGTGCTTATCTCGAGGGACGATTTGGGACTCATTACAGGCTGGGAATGAACATAATTCCCAGCGTTGAAATAAAACAGGAGTTGTTTTAACTAAGCATGTGCTTAATTATGGTCTCCAGAAGCCTTGGTCAGAACAAACTTAAAAAGTCATAAAGTAGGGCAACTAGTGAGACACTCAACAAGTGTCTCACTTAGCAACAGAAATTTTGGGCTCAGTTGTCATAAGTCGAGGACTACCTGAATATGGTGGTGGTGGTGGGGTTTCCTTTTATAGATCCTCCCTGTCTAATACCCCACCCTTGAACCATTGGATATCTCTGGAAGTTGCCTGATGGATATTTTCCCCTTTTGTAGGACAAGCACTGGCTGATAAAACAAGCGAAGACGCCAATGTCCAACAGCTCCATTCAGTTCTTAGACCGTGTTTATAGAGCCCGGTAAGAAAGTGTGACTTCACTATTACCAAAAATGGTGAAAGGGGAAAAAAAAACCAAATAACCTGAAACCAATTCTCTTGATGACTTGGTGATGAGAGAAGCACCATCAACTCAATTCTGCACGCCAAAATGGGCTTGAAGTGACTACAATCGGTGGGGGTTCACACATTGTAATAAGTCATCAACGATGGCTTATCATTTTAAACTGTCCTGATAAGCAAGGGGCCTCCAAACTTGGCAACTTGTGGCTGGAGAATTCTGGGAGTTTTGAAGTCCACCAGTCTTAAAAGTTGCCAAGTTTGGAGACCTCTGGACTAAGCCATAAAGTGCAGTTTGCAAAGCGACAGTCACTGGATTCCCATAAGATACGAAACCACCCAAAGGAAAAAAAAAAAAAACCCAAGATGGTTTAGTGTGACATGTAATGCCCAATCATCCCAAAAGCGCTTCATCCATTCAACCAGGTCATGGTTGTCCCCAAAGGTGCTTTTTCCAAAAGACAATTGGACTTTCTTCTTTGGAAAATGTTTCGCTCCTCAGAAGAACTGAAGATGCTTCTTGGATGAGAAGCAAAATGTTTGCAAAGAAGAAGAAGAAAAAACCCAAGAAAGTCCAGTTGCCTTTTGGAAAAAGCACCTCTGGACCTCAATCATTAAGCAGAACATAGTTACAATTCATCTGTTGTGTTTCTTTGAACTGACTATCGTGAACTGACTATCAGTAAAACCAGTAAGGCACATTGCCACAAAAATAATGCAGGGCATTTTTATTAATAGATTGATCAATAAATCAGAATAGAGCTAGAAGGGACCTTGGAGGTCTTCTAGTCTAACCCCCTGCTCTAATACCATTTCAGACAAGTGGCTGTCCAGTCTCTTCTTTAAATGCCTCCAGTGATGGAGGATCCCACAACCTCTCAAGACAAGCTGTTTCACAGGTTGATTGTTCTAACTCTCAAGAAATTTCTCCTTAGTTCTAGGTTGCTTCTCTCCTGGATTAGTTTCCACCTATTGCTTCTTGTCCTGCCCTCGGGGGCTTTGGAGAATAGCTTGACCCCTTCCTCCTCTCTGTGGCAGCCCCTCAAATATTGGAAGACTGCTATCATGTCACCCCTAGGCCTTCTTTTCTCTAGACTAGCCATACCCAATTCCTTCAACATTTCTTCATGTATCTTCATGTTTTAGCCTGCAGGCCTTTAATCATCTTAGTTGCCCTTCCTTGCACTTTTCCCAAAGTCTCAACATCTTTTTTTCATAATGTGGTGACCAAACCTGGATGCAGAATTCCAGGTGTGGTCTTACTAAGGCATTAAAAAGGTATTAATACTTTACGGTGATTTTGATTCTATGCCTCCATTTATACAATCAAGGGTTGGTTCCACGTGGTTAAATTTAAAAGAAAAAAATAGCATTAACCCCGTGGTTTCTCTTTTCTCTATAGGTGGCAAACTTTGTTGTCAGTAGACGATATGGTACAGAAAGTGTTGGATCAGTTGAAGTCCCTTAAATTGCTGGACAGCACATATGTGTTCTACACCTCAGATCATGGTTACCACACAGGTGAGTAGAAGATATTTTTAAGAAAACTTGTGAAGGCACAAATGGAAATAGTGAAATATTTCAAGATGTCCTCAGACAGTATTTCACCAGACATCAGTCTTCTGAATCGAGGCAGCGACATTCAAAACTAGCTTTAATAATAAACCGTTAACTACAACAGTTAATTACTGGTAATTGAAGCAGAAAAGCAGCAAAAAAATATGATTCCACAAGAAGCCCTACCATCAAATAAAATGTCCAAATCTTTTCATAATGTGAGTTGTCTGGACCAATTTGGCTTTTTGTTGTCTCAGCCTGATCTGGAAATTCACTTTGGGGATTGAACTGCCTTTGAATCTGATCTCCAAACTGAATATTTGCACTTGCTGAAGAACGATTCTTTTTCCTGTTTATCAACCATCCCTATTGACTTTTCTCCTCCCTCCTGCAGGGCAATTCTCGTTGCCTATCGACAAACGGCAACTTTACGAGTTTGATATCCGGGTGCCGTTGCTGGTCCGAGGCCCAGGTGTTAAAGGAAATAAAACATACCTGGTAGGTTTTCTGGTTCCAAAAGAAAGGTCTGAGCTGAAGTTCTAGCACAGGTTTTGTGGAGGCCACCTTCAGTTAAAACGGGAGCGTGGTGACTTATGGGTTAGACGAGCATATATTCTCCCTATTGAGTTGGGCAAAGGTAGGGCTATTGATGGCCTCCAAGATACCTGAAGATGGCCTCCAAGATACCTGAAGATGGCCTCCAAGATACCTGCTTGTCCAGACCACAGTTAAGGTTTCTTCCTCCTCCAACCCCACCCCAATCAAAATTGCTGCTTGCAGATCTCCCATTCATTCTCCCATTGAACTGCCGTGGTGGTGCAGCGGTTGGAGTGCAGTACTGCAGGCTACTTCTGCTGACTTCCGGCTGCCGGCAATTTGGCAGTTCAGGTCTCACCAGGCTCAAGGTTGATTCAGCCTTCCATCCTTCCGAGATGGGTAAAATAAATACCCAGTTTGTTGGGGGCAAGAGGCTGACTCTGTAAACTGCTTAGAGAGGGCTGTGAAGCACTGTGAGGTGGTATATAAGTCTTAAGTGCTATTGCTAATGATCACCATTAGTAAACCCAGCAGTTTTGTCCACATCATCCAGCTGATAGGTCAACTGGGGGGTGGGGAAAAGAGGAGGACCCTCTTCATTTGGGGTCTCCTGCCCCTGCCCCCCATGGTTTAAAAACAACAGAGTCTGCAGTCCTGCTGCAGAATATCTGAAGCCACATAGCATAGTGCAAGAGTCTCCAAACTTGGCAACTTTTGAGACTTGTGGACTTCAACTCCCAGAATTCTTTTGCTGGCTGAGGAATTCTGGGAGTTGAAGTCCACAAGTCTCAAAAGTTGCCGAGTTGGGAGATCCCTGGCATAGAGTCCTGTGGGGTAGTTTGCAGACAGTAGCGTCCTGTCATCTTTTCTTTTATTGCTTCATGCAGTTGTAGGCCTCGTCTGGAGGTTGGGTGGCCAAAACCGCTTGGATACATTTCCTGTCATAAATATGAATCAACTGCTGAGGACCCGAATTTTGATCGTAATGACCATGGGGGGATGCAGTGGTCATAAGTATGAAAAACTGGCCATCGGTCCCTTTTTTTTTCCAGTCCTGTTGTCACTTCGAATGATCACTAGTCAAACTCTTGTAAGTTGAGACTATCTGTATTAGCTTCCTACTACGGATTGTAAAGCCATGAAGATGAGACTTGTGGGTTAGGGAACCATCGTCCAGGGTTCATTGCTTTGAGAATGTCTTCTCTCTTCTCTGCCTCTCAGGAACCCATTCTGAATATTGACTTGGCACCCACTTTCTTGGACATTGCAGGAGTCAACGCTTCTCAGACCAACATGGATGGGGTCTCTTTCTTGCCCCTCTTGGTAATACCGTTGCCTTGAATTTTGGAATATGGTCCAGTGGAAGAGTCCAGTTAGAAAGCTTTTCTGAGGAACGGAGGAGGGTTTTATTTAAAACACACACACACACACACACACTTTTGCGGTGTTTACAAAGGAGGGCTTCGCTCACAAGCTGCATGTGGGACTTTTATGCATTGCAGAATCATACCGCAGAATGTGAAGATTTATGGGGTTTAAGCAGATCTCTAATAAATTCATGAAGAAATCTTGAGGGTCCGGCATGGATAGAGGCCACTGTCTGAGAGAGAGAGAGAGAGACAGACAGACACAGAGAGACAGAGACAGAGGAGGAAGGGTGGGAGAGGGAGGGGGAGAGAGAGAAAGGGAGGGAGAGAAAGAGGAGAGGGAGGGAGAGAAGGAGTAGGAAGGAGAGGGAGGGAGGGAAAAGAAGAGGGAGGGGGAGAGAGGGAGAGGAGTGGTAGGGAGAAAGGGAGAGAGGAAGGGAGGATAGAGACCACCGTCAGAGGGAGAGAGAGAGGTGAGGGAGGGGGAGAGGGAGGGAGAGAGATAAAGGGAGTGGGAGGGAGGGAAAGAAAGAGAAAAGTGAAGGAGGGAGGGAGAAAGAGTGGGAGGAAGAGAAGGAGTGGTAGGAAGAAAGGGAGGGAGGGAGAAAGAAGAGGAAGAGAGAGAGAAAGGGAGGAAGAGAAGGAGTGATAGGGGGAGAGAGAGAGAAGAGGACAGGGGGGAGAGAGAGAATTTGTTAAAGTATCTTTTAATCTTTCTTCCTCTTAGGTTAGGTGGGCAATGAAGCCTGACGGGGCACAAAGGAAGTGTCTAAAATACATTTAGAAATCATAACAGAAAAAGAGAGAGAGAGAGTTTTTCTATTTACATCTGTTTCTTGAAATGAGTCTCCTTTCGTGCAGGTGAACAAGGTACAGAAATCTGCATGGCGGTCAGATTTCCTGGTGCAATATACTGGAGAAGGCTACACAACCAGGGACCCCGAGTGTCCGTCCTTGGGACCAGGAGTGTCAGTAAGTGTCCCAGCTGGCTTAATTGTCACGCGCGACACCGTATTTCCTTACAAAACGTTGATTCTGCCATTTGCATCCAGGACGCGCGGCCAGAAAAATGGCTCCCTCCTTTGCAAATATTGATTTTCAGTTCTGAAAGCCGCTCTCTGGGGGGTTATTTGAGCTGGCTAAATTTCCATTTGTTTTGCATGTAAAGAAAACATTTCTGGGAACCCAGGAGGCCGGGGCATAGCTCTGGTTTAATAAGTAGCTGCAGAAGAAGACCCCCAACGAAGATGGTAGGCAGTTCTGCCAGAACAACTAAACGTTCCCCTACCCATCCAGCCAGGATGGCCAGTGGCAAGGGATTATGGGAGTTGTGGTGCAAAACCTCTGGATAGTGGAATGTAGTCATTAAAAAAAAAAAAACCCACTCCCTCTTTGTGAGAGAGAACGATGGGTCTTAGAAAAATCCTGTTGTGTTTGATTGCACCCCTGTCTCTATTGGTACTCTGTTCCTATAATGGCCAACCATAACTTAGGGGCTTAGCAGAGCAAACCCAGGGAGGAAGGATGGGATAAACTTCTAATAGCCATAGCTGCAGCCCATGAAGGGGATCAGGGCCCCTTCCTCTCCCATAGACCGCGCCATTCATGTTTCTCCCTTATCCGCTCCTCCCTGCGTGCCCTAGGATGAAGAGGGGATGGGCCTGGGTCTTCCTCTGACTGCCCAGCCGGCCTGTACCCTTCCCCAGTTTCCTCCACAACCTCCGGAGCCACACTCCTGCTCCCTGTTGGTTGTTCCTCCTCTCCCTTGGAATCAGACTCCAACACGGGCATGACACCCTCCTTCTTCCAGTTGGATGACCTCAGAGTGGCTCCTCCAGTGGTTTCTACTTTTGTTTTCCCCCAAGCATCCCCCCCTCCCTTCATTCCCCCCTCCTCACAGTGCACCACAGACCGTCACTGCATAACAGCAAAGTACAAAATGAGCATAAAGCGGCAGCTGACGCTTGCCTTAACTAGCATCTTATATACCGCTTCACGGTGCTTTCCAGCCCTCTCTAAGCAGTTTACAGAGTCAGCCTCTTCCCTACAACAATCTGGGTCCTCATTTTACCCACCTTGGAAGGATGGAAGGCTGAGTCAACCTTGAGCTGGTCAGGATTGAATTCCTGGCAGTTGGCTGAATCGGAAGGAAGGAAGGAAGGAAGGAAGGAAGGAAGGAAGGAAGGAAGGAATAGCAATAGCACTTAGACTTATATACCACTTCACAGTGCTTTACAGACCTCTCTAAGTGTTTACAAAGTCAGCATATTGCCCCCCCCTCAACAATCTGGGTCCTCATAATAAATGAACATTGTCTCATTTGACTTCCGAGGAAACAGGCTCTTCCACCCTCCCTAAAGCAGTTCCCATCAGGAGTGGCATTTCTGTGCCACACGAGGCTGGCACATTTGCCTATGCAAAGCAGGCCTTCTCTTGCCCCCCCCCCCCCCCATCATTTTCCTAAGTCCAATTCAGACCTGTCACAGCTTGAATCTCTCCGTAAGCACGGTCCTTGGCTCCATTTGTGGAGAAAGATATAGTTTAATAGTAGGTCGAGCGTAGGGCAGTAGTGCAAAGCCGGAACTGAGATTCGCGGGCCCAAATCTCAAAAGTTTTACACTGCCAATCAAGTTCCTGCTAAACGGTCAGTCTGAGCCCAGTTTGGTATGTAGCTCCCTCTGTGATGACCCAGGGCAGGATACAAAAGCAACGAAGTCACAAAGTCCATTTAATTCCTTCAACTTGGCTTCAAGGCTCCAATTATCATTGACTGGAGAAAAAAACTCCCTCACAAACAGTTGCAAAAAGTCAGAAATGCCGTTCAAACTCAAAATACATATAAATTATAAATAGAAAAAAAAAAAAAAACACAAACCACACTGAAGCAATTGATGAGACAAGGCAGGGTAAGGGCTTGAAGATGTCCACAGATATCGAAATACACACACTGGGAAGGACTCCCGAACTCAGATCAGAATTGAAAGACTAGAATTATTTCACGCTTTGCTTCCAGCACTGGGCCATGCGCAGTTTGTCCTTTTAAACAGTCCTCACAGCTGCAGCCCATGAAGGGGATCAGGGCCACTTCCTCTCTCATAGACCACGCCATTCATGTTTCTCCCTTATCTGCTCCTCCCTGCGTGCCCTAGGATGAAGAGGGGATGGGCCTGGGTCTTCCTCTGACTGCCCAGCCGGCCTCTGCCCTTCCCCAGTTTCCTCCACAACTTCCGGAGCCGCACTCCCGCTCCCTGTCGGCTGTTCCTCCTCTCCCTTGGAATCAGACTCCAACAGGGGCATGACACGCTCCTTCTTCCAGCTGGATGACCTCAGAGTGGCTCCTCCAGTGGTTTCTACTTTTGTTTTCCCCCAAGCATCCCACCCTCCCTTCATTCCCCCCTCCTCACAGTGCACCACAGACCGTCACTGCATAACAGCAAAGTACTTAACTAGCATCCTAAAATGCTATCGAGAGAGAGAGAGAGAGAGAGAGAGAAGGGGGCTTTCTTGCATTCTCACATACCTGCATTGACATGGTCTCCCACCCCTGGACACCTAGTTCATCATGTAACAGCAGGTGTTACTGTGACACAGGACAATGAAATGGATGGTCTATAAAGGGATGGAAAGAGGAATGGGTTTTTGTCTGTCCCCCTTATTTATGGGAGCTTGGAGATGAATAGAGCCCATGAGATGGTTGATAATTGATGATGTTCTTGGTTGCCATTATGCATATAATTTAACTATATTTGTATCTTTAATTCTATATAAGCCAGTAAGAGTTACTGTTGAAAAATGAGCAGCTAGATCAGTTGATTAGATCATTAAACAGGTGAAGGACTCCATGCCGGTTTTACTCTGCTAGTCTTTGCCACGTATAGAGGTTTGTGCTCATTCTTGTTTCAAGGCCATTGAGCCAGCGCTATCCTAAGACATAGCTAGATAAATAGCTAGATAAATAGGTACCACTTTGGTAGGAAGATAACAGTGCTCCGGGACACCGTGCTGGCTGTTCATGTAGCCAGCATGGTGTCCCAGAGCACTGTTATCTTCCTACCAATGTGGTACCTATTTATCTACTTGCACTTGTGTGCTTTCAAACTGCCAGGTTGGCAGGAGCTGGAGGGGAGGACGGGAGCTCACACCGTCACACGGTGCTTGGGTCTCAAACCCGGGCTGCTGGCTTTCCAGCTGACTCTGCCAGTATCTTAACTGCCAAGCCGCCTCCCTGCTCCTTACATCGATAAATATGAATAAATCTGCTCAAGCTAGCCAGCTAGCTGTGCCCTTTTGACCAAGGAAGAAGCTCAGCCTGCCCGTGAGGTTGTCTGACATCTAACTGCTCTTCTGAGAGTCTCTGTCCCCCCGAGAGAGGCCTTGCAATTTTGCATAACTCAGACAAACAGGGTTGTAGTGTCCCGATCGCCCTCAATTTTGGCCACTCTGGTCTGATGCGAATCGGTCGGCCCTCACTAGCCCGTGTTTTGTACTCGGGAAGAAGAACGCAAGTTGCTCGACAGCTCTTCGGCTCATGACCGGTTTCCCACACTCTGTTTTGCACAGCAATGTTTTCCCGACTGCGTGTGTGAAGATGCCTACAACAACACATATGCCTGCGTGCGCACGCTGAGCGCTGCGAACGTGCAATACTGTGAATTTGCCGATAAAGAGGTAAGCGGGCAGGGTTTGGGTCTTGCCCTCTGTAGCGTCAGGAGCAGTGGTAGGATTTAAACAAATTTTTCCTACCGGTTCTGTGGTCATGGCTTGCTGGGCGTGGCCCCATGACTGGGTGGGCGTGGCTTTTTTCTTTTTTGCAGCCCCCACCCATTTTGGGGAGCTTCTTAGCCTCGGGGGGGGGCATTTTTGCTACCCCAAGGCTCCTCTGAGGCTCAGGAAGAAAAGGAACGGCGCAAGGAAGGGAATAGCACCCCTCCAAGCTCCGTTTTGGGGCCTTCCTGGCCTCAGAAGAGCCTCTGGGGGGGTATTTTTGCTCCCCTAAGGCTCCTCTGGGGCTCTGGGAGGCAAAAAATGGAGGGGAGGGGGCAAACTTCCTCCATTTTTCGCCTTCCTGGGCTTCAGCAAGGGAAATCCCAGCGCAGCTGATCTTATCCACAGCTGATTGTCAGGAGGGGAAAAAAAGAAAGAGATAACTTATGAGAACGTCAGGTGGGCGGGGTGAGTGAGCATTGGGTGGGAGGACGACCGGGTTGGGGGCATGGCCAGCCAGAACTTACTACTGGTTCAGTGACCCACATCCGATCCTTGCTACCGGTTCGCGCGATCCGGTGCGAACCGGCTGAATACCACTACTGCTCAGGCGGCTCTGTGTTTAGGGCTTTGAAAGTCGGGTCTTGCGGCCTCCAAGAATGATCAGAGCTTCTGGCATCAGAAAAATGTCTTTCCACGTTGATTGTGATGGCTACTAAAGCCTTCCGGAGAAGCCCTCTGGGGCATATAGGTTGTCCTTGATGTATGACCACAATGGTCGGGAAATGTGTGATTTAGCAGTACGGTTGGTAAGCGAGACGTTGTGCGATTGTGACTTCCATGCTGCTTTCCCTATTTACAGGAAGTCATCTACTTAATATCATTGTTTAATGATCATTCAAAGTCAACAACAGCACTGAAAAAAAGTGATTTATGAACAGTTTTTCACTCTTATGACCATTGTAGCATCTCCGTGGTCCCGCAATCAAAAATCCAGAGGCTTGGCAACTGACTCATGTTTATGATGGTCAGGACCAGGTCAAGGGTGAAATGAATGGTGCGTCAGAGTCGGCTGCAACCTGGAAAATGCCAACGTTTAAACTCCTAATAAATCAATCTTGTTTACTCTTGAGAGATGCGGCTAGTACTTGTGATTTGAAGGAGGGTGCATGTCGGAGTCTGGGCAGAAGGTGGACAGGTGTGAGGGACCTTGAAAGAGATGAGTCTTGCTTTAATGGTGATAAGTGATTATGGTGACTTACATTCTGGCGGACCACAACAGCTGTCTCCTGACCATCACCACACGGTCTCCTTTTTTTCTTGCAGAATTTTGTGGAAGTCTACAACCTGACTGCAGATCCCCACCAGCTGACTAACATAGCCAAGAGTGTCGACCCTTCGCTGCTCGTGCAGATGAACCAGAAGCTGATCAAATTGCAAGCTTGTTCCGGCATCAGCTGCCGTACCTGAGGGTTGGAACGCTTTGGCTAGGACCAAGAACCCAAGAATCCCTTCCCTCGTGGTTTCCTGGCCTGGCGCTCCTCCCGTCTCCAAACCGAAGCGAACGTGGTGCTGCCTATTAATTTAGGATGGCTCGATCTTTTAATCCCAAGTTTGGAGTTTGCTGTGCTGGAATAGGGTTTGGGGTAGAGCGGAAAGGAAAAATGTGGGTGAGGAATGAAGGCTCTCGCCCACTCCAAGCGCACCCAACCTTAGCGACTTTTGAGACTTGTGGACTTCAACTCTCAGAGTTCTGGGGGATTCTGGGAGTTGAGGTCCACAAGTCCAAAAGGTTGCCCACCCCTGCAGACACCCTATGAAATTCTAGTGCCTACCTCGCTTCGTTGCTCATCTTGTCTTCTTTTAGCCAGGCAGTGAGCAATGAGGTCTCACTTCAGAGTGAAGAATGTCTCAGTCTGGAACTTTCCAGATGTTCTTGGACTACAGGATCCTACAGCAGCTGTCATCCTTGGGACTACACATCCCACCTTGCACTGCTCCAGTTAGGGGAGGGATGGGGAGGAGTCTTTCCGTTCGGTCATTGATTAGCGCAGAATGAAATAACCTGGGATGGTCAACCTCCATGGTCATCTTCCTTCCTTCCTTGGGCTGACTGAGATCTTGGAGGCTCTGCGTATCCCTGCAGGGACCATTGTGCCTCGTCTGACTTTCTTGCCAGGTCCATGGTGATTATTGCAGTTGCTATCTTCATACTGTGAAAAAAAAAAAATGGAATAAAGCATTTTTTTAAAAATTAAGAAAAGCCAGTCTTGCATTTTTGTGTGTCGTCCCTGCTATGGAGAACCGGACTCCTGACTATTGGTGTCGGATAACAGATAAAATCAGAGTTGGAAGGGACCTTGTAGGTCATCTAGTCCAACCCCCTGCCCAAGCAGGAGACCTTACATCATTTCTGACAAATGGCAGTCCAGTCTCTTCTTGAAAGCCTGCAGGGATGGCGCTCCCACAACTTCCAAGGGCAACTTCAGTTCCATTGGGTTGATTGTTCTCAATGTCAGAAAATTCCCCCTTATTTCCAGGTTGAATCTCTCCTTGTTCAGTTTCCATCCAATATTCCTTGTTTGGTCTTTGGATGCTTTGGAAGATAGCTTGACCCCTTCCTCCTCCTCTCTGGGGCAGCCCCTCAAATACTGGAAGATGCTCTCCTGTCTCTCCTGGTCCTTCTCTTCCCTAGACTAGCCAGGCCCAGTTCCTGCAACTGTTCATTGTATATTTTAGTCTCCGGTCCCCTAATCCTGGTTGGTCTTCTCTGCGCTCTTTCTAGAGTCTAATGTCAGCATTTCAACTAACACCTCTTCTCTTCTCTTCTCTTCTCTTCTCTTCCCTTCCCTTCCCTTCCCTTCCCTTCCCTTCCCTTCCCTTCTTATTTCTATTTCTCTTCTCTCCTACCCTATTATTGTAATCTAATCCTTACTTCCACGAAGAGAAGTCAGTTCCTTTGTAATCATTTGACTCCAACCTACACCCATGTCTGAAGTCCATTTGCAGAGTTTACAACTGACAAACCTGTGGATGGGGAAGTGCCTGGAGGGGTAGGTTGACGAGAGAACCGGAAAGGAAAATGGGGATAAACACTAAAAAAAAACTGTGCAGCATTCAGGCCAATCGAAACCATCTCCGGCAGCCTCCCTTTTTAAAGTTATACAGGTCGCTCTCGCCATGCAACCAGAAATGAGCCCCAAATTTCTGCCATTGAGTGAGACACTTAAGTGAGCTTCATCGTCTTGGGCAGGAGGCCGGGTGGGGGAGGTTTAATCCAGTCAGGATGGAGGGGAGGGAGAATCCATCCTGTCAGGAACTAAGCCTTCCGCCTCCCGTACCATTCTGCCAGAAGCGAGGAAGCTTCTTGGATGAGAAGCAAAACCTCTTCAAGGGACGACAGAAAGTCCAGTTGCCTTTGGAAAAAGAAAAAAACAACACACCTTTGAGACAACCCAGCCCTGCTACCTGCCCTACCGTTAGCTAAAACCATATCCCTTCCCCACCTTCCCTCTCGATACTTGCCAGCACACCTATGCAAATGACAAACACAGTCCCTCTCCTCTCTCTCTCTCTCTCTCACACTCTCTGTAGTGCTGGAGATTCAACGGGGCACGGAGGACCTGCCTGGCTTCATCATGGTAAGAGATGCTGGGTGTTTTTTCTTCTGGCGGAAGGGTTGAAGCGGATGGATGGGGAATAACTCCTACGGCAGGGGTGTCAAACTCGACTTCATTCGGGGCCACATCAGGGTTGTGCTTGACTTTGGGGGGCTGTGGGGAAGGGGCATGGCCAGGGTGGAGGAAGGGGGGGCATGGGGAAGGAAGGAAGGAAGGAAGGAGGGAGGGAAGGGAGGAAGGAAAGGAAGGAAGGAAGGAAGGAAGGAAGGAAGGAAGGAAGGAAGGAAG